ATATTCCATGTTCTATGTTCTAAGCCCCCCCAGCTCTGATATTCCATATTTTATGTTCTAAGGCTCCCCCAGCTCTAATATTCCATGTTCTATGTTCTAAGTCCCCCTCCAGCTCTGATATTCTCTGTTGCAAGGCAACCCCCCCCAGCTCTGACCTTCAGCAATTCCAGGAGCTCAGGAGAGGATGGAGATAGAAGGGCCTTGTCTGGGGATGCTCTCACCCCCTTGTGGGTTGGCTCTAATGCCCTCCCGAGGTGTGATCCCGCCCCCTGTGCCCGCAGGTCGAGGCTCCTGGTACCTACCAGCAGGACCCGTGGGCCATGAGTGACGAGGAGAAGATGAAGGCCGTGCCCCTCATCCACGAGGAAGGCAACCGCCTGTACCGGGAGGGCCGCATCAAAGAGGCCTCCGTCAAGTACTACGACGCCATCGCCTGCCTCAAGAACCTGCAGATGAAGGTGGGGGCGGGGGAGCCTGAGCAGCCGCGGCCTCCGCCTCTGCCGGGCCTCTGAGGCCCCCCAGGCGCCTCCCTGACCCGCCCCCTTCTCTCCCCTGCGCCCAGGAGCAGCCCGGCTCCGCGGACTGGATCCAGCTGGACCTGCAGATCACACCACTGCTGCTTAACTACTGTCAGTGCAAGCTGGTGGCCCAGGAGTATTACGAGGTGCTGGACCACTGCTCCACCATCCTCAACAAGTATGAGGGTGAGTGCCCGGGCTCCTGGGACCCTCCTGCCCGGCTGCTGCCTCTGCCTAGCGAGATCCAGCACCTTCTCCTCCTCCTGCCCTCGTGGCCCTCCCCCTCCTGCCTGCGTGGTCTTCTCCTGCTGCTGGCCCTCGTGGCCCTCCCCCTCCTCTGGCCCTTGTGGCCCCCTCCTTCCCCTCTGCCGGCCCTCGTGGCCCCCTCCTTCCTCTCCTCTGGCCCTCATGGCCCCCTCCTTCCCCTCCTCTGACTCTCGTGGCCTCTTCCCCTCTTCCTGCCCTTGTGGCTCCTTCCCCTTTGCTGGCCCTCGTGGCCCTCTCATTCCCCTCTGCTGGCCCTCGTGGCCTCTTCCCCTCCTCCTGTCCTCGTGGCCCCTTCCCCTTTGCTGGCCCTCGTGCCCCTCCCCCTCCTCTGGCCCTCGTGGCCCCCTCCTTCCTCTCCTCTGGCCCTCGTGGCCCTTTCCCCTCTTCCTGCCCTTGTGGCCCCTCCCCCTCCTCTGGCCCTCATGGCCCTCTCATTCCCCTCTGCTGGCCCTCGTTGCCTCTTCCCCTCCTCCTGCCCTCGTGGCCCCTTCCCCTCCTCTGGCCCTTGTGGCTCCCGCTTGTGTGGTACACTGTCTCTGCCCTCTCTCTCCCCTGGCAGGCAGTGGAAAATGAACAGTGGGTTTGGGCCCGAATCCCAGCTCTGCCCCTAGGATGTGTGTGGCTTAGGAAGGCCCCTCCCCCCATGGGGCCTCAGTTACCTCCTCTGTCATGGTTCCCTCGGGTGGGTGAGGGCAGAGAGGGAGGGGTTCCTGGGGAGGCTCCAGGGCCTCACCACCTCTGCCCGGCATCTCCCACAGACAACGTGAAGGCCTATTTCAAGCGGGGCAAGGCCCACGCGGCGGTGTGGAACGCCCGGGAGGCCCAGGCCGACTTTGCCAAAGTGCTCCAGCTGCAGCCGGCGCTGGGCCCTGCGGTGAGCCGCGAGCTGCGTGAGCTCCAGCACCGACTGCGCCAGAAGGACCTCGAGGACAAGGCCCGTTTTCAGGGCATCTTCTCTCCGTGACTGGCCCCGCCCCACCCCACTGTGCCAGCCCCCTGTATAAATGTCGTATTTATCTGCCCACCTGCGTCCTTGCTCTTCTGTGGGGTCCCTGCTGCTGGCTGACGAGGGACCTTGAGCCGGTCATTTGCCTTCTCTGGCCCCCCCCCCCCAGTGGATTCCTGAGGGCCTGGGGGATGTGTCCCAAAGGGTCCTGGCTCTCTCTCAGGGGCGTAGAGGAGAGACATCTCGGCCCTGCCTCTCTCACTGCCTGGGTGGGCGTAGGCTAGACCCTTTCCCTCCCTGGGCCTCAGTTTCCAGCTCGCGGTCTCGGATGCTGTCTCATAGGTCCCACCACCTCCTGGAACGCTTCCCCAAAGGCGGCCTGCCTGGCCGGCAGCAGGACAAAGGCCTGAGGGGCCAAGAGGACCAGCGGAGAAGGGGGGGTGGGGTCAAAGGACTTGGGTTTGAATGCCTGCTCGGCTGCTCGCTAGCTGTGTGGCCTTGGTCAAGCCCTTTCCCGTCGCAGGGATGCCCTTTCCTCTTCTGAAGGGGACCTCTGGGCCCCCTGCCCACGGACCGAGGGCCAGAGGGCCAGGAAGCCACGAGAGAAGCCAGGGAGAGGCGTGGGGCGCCACAGAGCACAGACGCCACGCTGGGGGTTGGGGTTTAATGTTCACAGTTTCACACATCATGGAAGCCTCACAGGCCTCTCCCCAGGGCCCGTCCCCTCACATTAAAGGGATTTGTAACACATTGACAGGGAATGGGGGGGACGCAGAAAGGGCACAAGCCGGGGGGAGCCCCCCCGGGGGAGGGCTGGGGGGATTGTCAATAAATAAGCCGTTCTCTTGGCAGTGGCCCAGGGGGCCGTGGGTCAGTCACTCCTCACTGTCCAGCTTCAGGCTAACGCTGCGGGCCTTGGCCCGGGCCAGGGCAGTGGGCGGAGTCCCTGGCCCCTCCCGATCGGCCTGACTGGGCCCCCGGGAGCGGAGCAGTTGGCTCTGTTTGCGGAGAAAGTCCACGGGAGCTGCCACGTAACTGCTCTTGGCCAGCCCTGTCCTTGGCGGGGCCTGGGGGGCGTGAGGGTGGGCGCCGGCTTCCAGCTGAGCCAGGTGGGCCACGTAGCCTTCAGACAAGAACTGCGGGGAGATGAGGTACTTGGTGAGGGGAGGGGGCCGGGAGGACTGCTCTGTTGGGCGCGAGATGCGCCGCGGGCCAGCCCCAGTGAGGATGCTGGCGTATTAAATGCCTTCTAGGCTCCTGGCGCTGTGCTCAGTGCCTTACAGATACTCTCACTTAATCCTCACAAACCTGGGAAGTAGGTGCTGTTAGCCCCATTTTATAGTTGAAGAAACTGAAGCTGCATTTGAACTCGGGTCTTTCTGCCTCCAGGCCCTGTGTCCTGCAGGGCCCCTGGGTCACATAACTGCCTCCAGGGGAGGGCTCAGGTCCACTGATGACCCCCCACCGCCGGCAGCTCACCTGGCACTGGGCCTGAAGCTTGCGGACGGCGCGGCCCACGATGTAGGTCTGGCTGGGAGGGAGGCCCAGGGCCCCGTACACAGCCACATCCTTGGGGGAGCCATAGCCGGCCACGATGTTCAGCTCCACCTGTGGTCCGGTGCAGACCCGCGTCACCGACTGATGCTCTGTCCGGCCCTCGTCCCCAGCTTCCCCTTGACCTGCTCGGCCCCTCCCGGCCCCAGAGTGGGGATGGGGTTTGCCTAGGCCACCCCCCAGCTGGTGAGTGTCCTGGGCAGGATTAGAACCCAGGTTCTCACCTCCTGCAACAGGCTCTGCAGGAACACGGCCTTCTGCCGCAGGGGGTCATGGGTGAGGCCGTCGCAGAAGGAGACGACCCCGTGGGGAAAGTTGTGCTGGGAAAGCCAGGCGACCACACGGTGCTTCTGCATGTCCGGTCGGCCCGTCACATACACGATCAGATAGCCTGAGTCTTGCCAGTGTCTATGGGAGCGGCAATCGTGACAGGCCGTGTGACCTTCACGGTGACGCTGTGAGGCGGGGCCGCGATCTCCCCTTTTTACAGATGGCAAAGCAGAGGCCCAGAAAGGGGGTGACTTGCCCGGAGTCACCCTGAAGGTAAACGTCTGAGGCGGGATTTGAACCCGGGCCTCTGTGACTCCCAAGTTGGCCATGCCAAGCAACAGGGGTTCAGGGTGGGGTGGGAAGGAGAGGGAGTCGGGGAGGGAGGATGCTCGAACCTGACAACGTCGACAGCTCCAGCCCTCACTTTGGGGTCGCTGCCCATGATGGAGACGCTGGCGGTGAAGGATCCGTCGATGCTGAACACCACGGCCTCGGTGCCACGGGCCACCACGGTCAGGCAGCATTCGGCATGAGTGTGATCCCCCCTGCACGGGCGTGGACAGATGGCCCTGGCTGGGAGGCCCACGGGGACCGGGCCACTCCGGCCTCTCTGGGGGCCGGCCTTCCTCGGGCCCATTGTGGCCACTTACCTGACCACCATCCGGACGGGGTAGACGCCAATGCCCAGGGAGCGCTCTGGAGGCACGGGGAAGGTCAGCCGGCCGGAGCTGTTGGTCACTTCAGTACCAAAGTGAATCCACTTGCCAGAGAGGGGCTGGGTCATGATGTAGACGTCCACCTGGAACGGAGAGGAGCGGGCGGCATCGCTGAGCCTGAGGTGGGGCGGGGAGTGACCCGTCTGGGGCAGAGTTGGGGCTGGAATGGAGGTGTCACCCCCACTCCCCTCCCCTGCCTGGGAGGACTGACAGAGGGGAGAGGAGGGGGTCTGCTGTTGTCAGACCCCCGGGGGAATCTCGGAGGGTGACCCGAGCCCCATGGCCTGGACGTGTGGCGCCCACCCCGCTGTGTGCTGACCTTCTCTCCGGTCAGCGTCACCACGTCCAGGGGCCCGTACATGAAGCGCCCGCTCAGCACCTGTGGCCGGCCCTCACACACGATGACGTCACTCGCCCGGTGGTTGGAGGTCACGTTCTGCAGGCAGAGGAGGGTGGGCCTGCGGTGAAGACTGAACCAGGAGGAAGGGGACAGCGGGAAGCGGGGAGGGGCACCGTACCCGGATCTTGACCTGGGTCCTCCTCCTCTGCCACTTTTCCCGAGGGAAGGCCGGGCTGTAGATGGATGGCTCCTCGTATTCGGCCAGCTGGGGCCTCTCCTTCTCAATGACCTGGGGGGCGGGGGGGGGGGGGGGGGGG